GTCATCATCAAATAACGGAGTTATTTGATAATGATGCGATCATCATCAAAATAACTCGAGTTATTCTGTTGGTACGAGTAAGGTGCCGGATAATTTGTAATACTGTACAATATAATCATCCTGTGATCTTGATATAGAGATCAAAAGATTACTCAAAAAGAATATTCCGATTTTTCAACTGTGTCTTTGGTTTACGGGCATTACATCGTACACAGCCGGACTCGAACATCACTTTATTTCCGTAGAAATATCATGGCCACATGTTCTAGCCGTTAATCCAAATCAGAATGATTATCGAATTTTTTAAATGTACTCCTTATAGCCATATCTAGGTACATAGCAGGCTTTCTTTGTGATTAGATGATAGATCTACGTACTAGAAATTGGAAACCGGAGCCTAAAATGTTCGATTGATAGCCTCAGCCTCTGAAACTACGTTTTTTGATATTGCTGTTATAAAAGCATCGAAATCGCAATTTCGGTCATCAAAGCATATAGAAGTATGAGTTCGTCGTTTCGCTTCGGACAATTAGTGTAATCAGCATTCTCGAATTGATACCAAAAATATTAAACTACGTATATATAAATATATATATATGCAACAAGATGATAAACCACAGGGAGCGTTGAAATATTAAATCGCTACTCTTAATTTTGCGTGAGTTTATTGCTGTCAAAAGTGATGCTGTAACGATGGTCACGGGAACAAATTAGGTAAGTGGGATTTATGGGATATACGAGATTTATAGGATTTAAGGCATAAATTAGTAAATTAGATAAAGTGTGCGAATGGCATAAATGTGATGTAATTTTCTTTGATCTAATTAATATATAATAAAGGCCAAAACGGTCGACAAAAAAATAAGTTTTGTGCAATAAGTTTCGTTCCATATACCCGAACTATTCTAGAATTGTAAAATCTGTCCTATACAAGTGTCTCATTACTAATCTATAATGCTATATGTGGAGACATTATCGGTCGATTGACTTTCTTGAGCACGTGCGCCAACAAATTTTCACTTTCACGTGATGAGTATCCAATAGTGTGTCTCGTTTTAATGTAACGTTACACGATCAGGAAGATCAAAACAAAAACGTTAAAAATCAAAAATTTGCATAAGAAACCATCTTTTGGGCTCTAACAAAAAAAATTCCTTGAGCAATTTTACTATAAACCCCGCTAGTTCTTCATCTTATTAGGAACGCTAACCCTAACCTAAATGAACTTTAAAGAATTTTTCGATCGTCACGTGATAGTGAAATTT